TGGCAGGAGCCACCCGTGGGAGCAGACCACCCCCCACGGCGGGCCGTGGAAGTGCTGGGTGGCCCCACGGAGCACAGGGTCCAGGCACCGAGGAAGCCGGCCAGGGAAGTCTGTTTAAAGACAACAAAGCACAGCGGCCCCAGAGCCGCCGGGCACAGCATGGGCAGGCGACCGCCGCCCAGAAGGCCTGGTCGCCCTGGGAGGAGCCACCCGACCTGCCCAGGAAGCATAAGGCGTCTCTCCTGGGGGCAGAGAGGAGCAGAGTCAGGTCATCACGCTGGCCCCGACGGGCTTCTGCGGGCCCACACGGCAGCTGCGCTGACAAAACACATGGTCATTTTTGCTGATTTCCTCGGGCTCTTCTGCAGCCGTGGAGCGGGGTAATTAAGATGTGGCAGATACTGGCAGTATGGTGCCCAAGACGAGTTCAACTGTGCTGCGGCAACAGGCGATGACAGGCACTGACCCAGAGAGCAGCTAGAGGTGTAGACCTCTGCTCCCACCCTGTCCCCAGCCCCAGCTTTGTAATGACCTTAAACATCATGGTGTGAATGTCCAGTGCTGAGCTTCTAATTATTCAGTGATGCTTGATTGCTGGCATTCTTAAGGCAGCTGCTGTTCCTGTGGTCTTCTCTGACCCTAGGCTCTTCCTCCACACGCAATGCCCATGACACAGCCCACACCGACTTAAATATAAAACAACCTTTTTTCTTTACAATTTATGTAAATCATGATATGTTGACTATTTTTTACTAAGAATTCGGGAAGATCACTGGAGCAACAGAAATACCACAGGATTACAGAGTCCACGTTCTTCAGGACCTGAGCCACCTCCACTAGCATCACCTCCACCATCACCACAACCCTCACCTCCACTTCCATTACCACTGTCTCCACTATCATTATCACTGTCTCTACCACCTCTATCACTTACACCATCAGCTCTACCAGTACCATGTCTACCACGACCACCCATCCCCACCATCACCATACCTTCACCATCATCACCGCCTCCACCATATCACTTCCACCATGTCACCTCCACCATTACCCCCCAACTCCACATCTCCACCACTATCTGCACCATCGCCACCACCTCCTCCATCGCCACCACCTCCACCATCGCCACTATCATAATCACCACTACTTTATTCTGTTGATGCACTGAAGAGAAAATTCATAGAGTTGGTGC